AAATGGTTTGTAATGTTCGAAATTTATAAACGTTCCTGTTAAAATATCTGAAGTATCCCGATTAATAAGCGTTATAACAATCACCGTTATAGATTCCGAAGTTTATAACACACCAATTACAGCAATCCAATAATAGATACTGCTTTTTGGCGCGTCGCGTTGGTTATATTTATAGGCGTCTGGAGAGTTTCTCGAAAATTCAGATTACATAACAATACTGACGTTAACACTAACGTTTACGTACACACATATATTGTTGATTCTTACACTCGAGAATCTTTTACAACTTTATAGGATAGGCGGGAGTTTCGCAATACATATTTAACAGTATAATTTATGTATATTTTAAAATATAAATTTAATTTAAACAAACGCTGATATTAAAATGAATATATAATAATAAATCCGTCACAGTATCTTTTTCTCTTATGATGTACAGTAACATCTCTTAATTTAATGTTTTAATCCTTTGCATACTTAATACAATGGATTCATTTACAATGGTATAAGATATATCGATCTATGTTAGATAAAAAAAAAAGAGTAGTAAATTACATGCATTTGTATTGCACAATCCAGGAATTGTTTATTACACTTGGATAAAGTGATCTAGAGTATTATAGCTATGGATTTAATCACTGACAATGTTCATTCTCTCTAAGTTTATTGAGATAAAGTTACTTTATAAACATAACTTTTCTCGCCTTCTATAGGATTTTATTAAATAGCTTTTCTAATCAAACAATGAGATTAGACCAATATCGAAGCTTTCTCTTAACGTAACAATACTCTAAACACAAATCTACCAAGAAACAAATAAGTATGTATACTGAAATTTCGAAGTGGACAAAATAAAATATTTTGAATATGCAATGAAACCAAAGATTTGATATTGTAATATAAAATACGATAAAGAGTAATGTTATAAAATATAATCATTGCACAAAATGATATATTAATATCAAAACAGTGGCTCAGCGGTAAGTCTGAAGGCTTATAACACTAAATATTGAGTTTCGATACCTGTGATGGGCTTATCTAAAAACCAACCAACCAACAAATAATATCAAAACCGTGTGTTGTCACTCGGAAACCACGCCCACTAAAGATATATTATTTTACTTGTGTTTCTTTGTTTGTTTGTAGTTATGCACAAAGCTACACAATGGGCTCTCTATGCTCTGCCCACCACGAGTATCGAAACCCGGTTTCTAGCGTTGTAAGTCCGTAGACATACCGCTGTGCCACTGGGGGGCATTTTACTTGTATCACCAGATATTTATTAAAGAACCATTAAGGAAGAAGGGTAAATATTACCGAATACGTGTCATCGTGGTAAGTTGCATTAGTAGTCTAACTCATACTTCCTAACGGCTTCTGTATTTGGAAGTGTTTCATTGGAATCTGGTCACTCTTACGTACTTTGCATAATATTGCCAGAAAATGACCGAACAGTTTTTGGCTAATCCGTTTTTACAGTCGACTCAGCTGAATGAACTGCTTCGAGCTGTTTGACATTAAGCTATAAACAAATACGTTAAGCCCACAATTTAAACCTCTGCTATGAATGTCAAACTTATGCAGTTAATCATGCATCGTGATTACTTATTCCGAACAGGGTGTCAGGTGCAAAGGAAATTTAGACGGTGTTAAACGTATGTGTCGTGCATCAAGATATTTAATGCGCATAATTAGTCGGGGCTTTCTTTTGTATTCCTAGAAGTCGTTTCTTCTCTTCAAAGGTGTCTCAACTCACCAGAAAATATCGTCTGTGAATTTGTTCCAAGGAATTTATCGCGTCAAAATGGAACACCAAACTGTTTTGTAAGACGAGAAGAATATCATGTACATGGCGGTCTTTAAACCTTTAAAGTTTATCTTATTATGTCTGTTTCATTTTCCATTAATTCATTATCCTACAAAATTTATCGACCAGTAGTTCTTCAACATTCGTTAAACAACAAGCCTAAAATATTCATGAATTTGTAGACCTGCAATAATCTCAGGTTCACAGTGAAAAGCCCTTAAAATAATATAACATTACAAAATTATTAAATTTTTCTACCACTATCAACCCCTTGTTGTCCCCCCCCCAGTGGCACGGCGGTATGTCTGCGGACTTACAACTCTAGAAATCGGGTTTCGATACCCGTGATGGGCAGAGCACAGGTAGCCCTTTGTGTAGCTTTGTGCTTAACTACAAACAAACCACAACCCCTTTTTTATCCTGGCTAAAGTAGAATTAAGATATCACGCTCAAAACGTTTTCCTATGAGAAAAGTATGTAAAATAATCGTTCATCAAGAGTTCTTTGCCATTTCTCCAGTTTCTAGTTACTGCATCCTTTTTGCCTTTCTTTCTATACGTTATTATCTTGTTCTCCTTCTAAATATTTCTTCTCAAGTCTCTTTTTTTTTGTCAAGGTAAATGTGAATATGCATCTTCCATATTCCTTTTATTTGTAGATAATTATTTTAGTTTCTATTTTATGATTTATAATTTTTTTGCCTTTCTTTATATTCCCCGCTGGGACAGCAGTAAGTCTACGGATTTACAATGCTAAAATCAGGAGTTCGATTCCCCCCTCGGTGAACACAGCAGACAGCCCGATGTGGTTCTGCTATAAGAAAAAAACACACACTTTTCTCTCTTTTCTTTCCGCTGCGAATGGTTATTGTTTTCAAACTTTCCACGCTTCATATTTCCTTTTACTTTCATTCTTTGCCTTTTTCTTTGTTTTGAATTTTACTCCGTGACTCTTTCTGTGTTGTCGTCATCCATTTTTTACCCTAGTAACTATTGTGATATTTTTTTGTGTATTCGTAGCTTTTCACGTGTTACTGTGTGAACCTTCTAACACCATTGAACGTTTATTATAACATAATGATAAAGTCAGGCCTGCCCTTGGAACGTGCTTGCTAGTGTGAATATATATACTTCAAGTTTCATCATATCTTATCAAAGTACAATGCATGGTTTAGAAATTTAAAACATTTTTTCGCATGCAACGTGTGGCTAGTTACTGTATTTCTCATTCCTTAAAAAACTTATCAAGATTAAACAATACTTCATAAGAAGAGGCGATAATTAGTGGTAAATTGTATCATAGTAGAGAGCGAGTGTCGACACTGTTTAATAGAGAAATGTGTTTATGTTCTCGGTCTTAGTTAAATTACGCTTGCATCCCAAGTGCATCCCAAGCTTCTGCGCATCATTAGCTTCCCCAGAGATCCTGCGCAATTTTCCATACAAGTTCCTATATGGCGATGAAGTTGACTAAACCAGTGAGAAACTGAAACAAATCACCTTAATGAATGAAAAAAAAACAATGCCAGTTTACCCTTTCCTATAGCTTTTAACAATATTAGTTGTTACTCATAGACCTCCATTAGCTCAGCTAGTTTTCTCCTGAGGTGCAAAAAAAAAAATCAACATTATTATGTCCAGAGATCGAGCCATGTTTTGTATTTGCAAACTGTACAAATAATTAACAAAAGTATTTTCAGTCTTTCGATTGGATAAACAACTTTAAGGCTCAGTGCCTACAACACTAACCCCTCAGCGTCACAGCAGCTTATCTGCGGATTTATACTGCTAAAAACCGGGTTTCGATACCCGTGGTGGGCAGAGCACAAATAGCCCTTTGTGTAGCTTTGTGCTTAATAACAAACAACAACAGTCTACAACACTAAGGACCGCAATACGAATTCCTTGTCACAAACTTTCGTCGTGACGTCATAAAAATTCAAACTTTTGAAAAAACAAATAATAATACACACATAAAGGCGTTATATGATTAGAGGATAGGATAGTTCAAGAGTGTTTCAGTGTTTTTACTTAGTCACAATTCCTTGCCCAACCAAAAACCTTTATATTTACCAACATAAGCTTAACAAAACTTTATCATTAGGAAGCTTTAGGATTGATCTAAATAACACACTGATGTAGATCTTAAAAGAGCAGAAGAGCATTTATTTTTCTAAAGGACAAAGTCGCGTAAACAAAAAAAAAGAGTTCGTTTCGATATTAGTTTATATTTTATTTGCAGTATAAATTTAACTTTATATCTAGTGTTGATTTAATCTTTATCTTTCGTTGCAGGTAAGACTCTGTCGTTGGCAATGGTTCTCTGGGTCCAGTCTTCAAGCAGCAGTGCTCACCACCTGAAGTTATAGATGCGCTAGTTTTTTAACACTTGTATGTTTACCAAATAAACCAAGTTAACTTTCGAGTTTCGTAACACCAAATATTCAAGTGGATTCTCTCCAATCACACGAACGTTACTTAACCCAACGTTATTATCACTTCCCGGATTATCAAGATACCCCCATTACAATTTAACCGTGCCGTCAGCGACCTTTTCCTCCACCACCTTGACACATCTATCACACCGCCCCCGACAGGCTCAAGGCGAGATGTCCTACTTCTTCCGCTTCCACGACCTGATCGGGGGCCTTCACGTGCCCATCGACGATGGCATAGACAAACTTAACCGGAAGTACACACTGCTCGTTTTCCTGTTTCTTGCACTTCCCATCTTTACCAAACAGTACATTGGAGATCCCATCCAATGTTTCAGCCCGACGTACTTCACTGACGCCCAAGCCCGTTACGTCAATAGCTACTGTTGGACGGCATCAACCTACTTCTTGGTCACAGTAGACAATGACAAAGACACCTTTGGCCCAGCGAAGCATTTTGATTCCGAAGAAATAAACTATAGCGGATTCGATGTGTACACTGTACAGAGGAACAGGTTACGCCGAATTTATGTAAGCTACTATCAGTGGTCCACTGTCATTTTAATGGTGCAGGGTGTTTGTTTTCATTTGCCTTTTATTATGTGGAGTGCTTGCGCACATAACGCAGGCATCAAGCTGCGTCGTCTGCTAAAGCAGGCCTCTGATATCGCCGCCCTGCAACCAGGGTGTCAACAACGGGATTCTCTTTTGAATGAATTTGTTGATCAATTCAATACTCTTGTTACCAAAAACGCAGGATGGTGTACGGACCTTTTGTGTCGCTTTCCTTTAATAGGCTGTCGTTGTGTCGCAGGACCAAGTCGCTACCTAGCCTTGTTATATATGTTAGTGAAGGTTTTTTACTTAGCCAACGTGGGTGTTCAGTTTCTACTTCTCAGCGCCTTTTTGGGTAAAGGATATCTCCGACACGGGTTTGAAATTTTACGCCGCCTGGCAGCGAGCGGAGACTGGTGGAATTCTCCTAGGTTTCCTTTGCAGACCTTATGCCAAGTCCGCGCGGCCATGCAAGGTGCCCTCCAGACCTACGTGTGCAGATGTGTTCTGCCTATCAATGTTTTTAACGAAAAAATATATTCTATCATCTGGTTTTATTTAGCCATTCTCCTTCCACTCAATGCGGTTAGTCTTATACTATGGATATGGCGAAGTCTTCCTTGTAATCGACTTGCCTTTATCAGATTATGCTTGTGGAGATCAAGACTAGTCAATATGAGTGAGGTTGCCAGGACAGCTAGGAAGATATCATCTAATTATCTAGGCTGGGATGGTGTCTTTGTACTTCGACTAATCGAACAGAATCACGGCAGCGCCATGGCCACAGTCATCATCACCAAGCTTTGGGAATTTTATTCAAGTCAAATGAAGCCACAGGAAGAAGGAAACAGTGACGTGGAAATGACACCAATGGCTATAGGCATTCTTCCTGTAGCGCCGTCTATACCTTGGCATTCCTCTCACTCTGGAACATGCCAACTTAGCCATTTTGGCCAGCAGACTTTTCCCTCTACAAAACGTCAAACTCCTAATAGTTACTGGGGAAAATGATCTTAACGTAAAAGTTTTAACCTCGTGTTTACAAGTATACTCTGATAGAAGACGCTGAAAGAGAAACTGTTAAAGATATTCCTTTGTCGTCAATCGTCCAATCGTACGCTTTCAGAAGCATCATTTAAAACGTCGAACGTGGGAGAAATTGTGTTTTACGAATATAAAAACACACTTGTATTTATATTTGATTTTTTGTTACATAGCTGACAGAAAGACATTTTTTTGAGAAAACGAAAATTCATCATTTCCACTCAATAGTCTCTACGTGAATGTTGTTTATTGTTGTGACTTTATCTCTCGTTCTGAATGTTTTATGAAAAAAACAACAACTAAAACTAAAGATTACAATAGCATTTGTAAGTGGATGTTTTATAATAATCAATAAAATATTTAATAAAAGTAGTTTAGCAGCCAAATATGCTCCAAAGCTACATAGCCTAGGCATAACTCTTCTTCACTGGTGTGGTTTGAATATAATATTTTTATTTGAGTCGTTTGTTTGGTTGATTTCTTGTAAAACTAGACAAGAGCTATCTGCGATAAGTGTTCGTTACTTTGAAGTGATAAACTAGAGGGAATGCAGCTAGTCAACACTAACCATCACTAAATCTTGGGTTACTTTTCCCAGATCTAATAATGGGATTTGACCATTACTCTTATAACGCACCCACTGTCCCCAAATATTGTTTTTAATGGTAAGCGAACTACATAATTGAAATCCGACACTCTAACCACTGGGCTGCTGTCTTCGCACTGTTTACTGTAAAGTTTATGTCGCTTTAAAACTTTAAGGTTTTTTGGATAATAGCACTATAATAATAATGTATGTATGATGTGTTTCATAAATGCATAATATGTTTCGTGCTTGTATTAACTTACAAGCACAGTTTTCTTCCCAGGACATGTTGAAACAAATTATACTTAGTTTATTATAGTTCGTTTCGTTAAAAAAATTTGCGGACTGGGGTTAGTGAAGAATTTGATTTTTGTAGAATATTGGGAATTGGTATTAAAAATCAAATCTACCGTCCTGTTTATATTAGTGTTTTATTTTAACAAACGAGACATTTTAACATTTTACTTTTTTCAAACTTAATATTATCTATGACAGCAAGAAATGTAAAAGTTACATATATATATACGTATATTAATTTGGAAACTGTTTTATCACATTTACCTTGATTTTCATTGCAAGGCGGGCAGCGTAGAGGTCTTGATGGCTCAAACTTTTATAAGATGTTGCCCGAGCCGCCCTACAAAATCGGCTGAACGTGGGAAGATCGAGATGGCCTGTTTTTATGTTCCAATCTGCCAAGATAGAGAAGAAAAAGTTAATATAAATACTAATAATACTAAAACGTGTACTTTTCAATATTATAGTTACTATTTAATATGACTGTTTTAACAATTGATACAAAAGAGGCATGAGACGATACTTGTAGGATTACAAAATTAAATTCCTTAAAGCGGTGCCTTTGATACCGAGCATAAAAAAAACCGTCGAACAAGTAATGTTTGGCCGCAACTATGGGTGTGAGTTACCGTTTTTAAGAAAAAGGATTTTAAAATATAAAGTTTAAAAAATCGAGGAAGCCTAAATTTTTACAAAAAAAGTTTTTGAAAAACGTCATCTCATCCAAGTCCCACCCGGCCCTAACCCGAATCTTTTTTGTTATTACCTGGTCCGTGCCCGTCACGTGAGCTAGGTCGGGCCGAGGCACAGGTCCGTGCAGATCTCTAGGCCAACGTATTTCAAGTGTCAGTCGTCATGAAGAATCTTATACAGTTTTAAATAACTCTTAAGGAGTTAAGCAAAGTTAAATACTATAGCTTCTAATTTTTTCATTTGTTTGTTTTACCACAAAGCTACACAACGGCTATATGCGTTCTGTCAGCCACGAGTATCGAATCACAAATTCTGCTGCTATAAATCCTGAACTTCACAGTTGAACCTCTGGGGTACATGGCTTCTTACGTGACTAGTTTATGGAACTACTGATACTTGTAGATGTTTTTTTTTAATGATAAAACTTAAACTATAATATACAACGCAGAAATGATGAGTAGCCTTTGAGCCACTTTTCATCGGTACTTCTTTTCAATGATTAAATTTCTTTTTTGTTAAACATTCATATTTATGAACCGTTTTATTTTTTTCTGTTATATTACCTCTTACACAATAATAATGTTTGGAACAGGAAACAGTAGGAGGTGGAAGATGTTATTAATTTTCAAGAATATAAAAAACTGTTTGGTCAAATGAACCTCAATTTTCCAAGTTCGTTCATAAAACATATTGACGTTTTGAAATTACAAGATCTGTCTATCTGACCTTCAGTTGGAAGCATTTATTTAGTTGGATATTAACCAGCTTCAGTAGGCTAGGATGGCATGAATTACTTAGTCACTTGATCCCAATTTCTTTCTTTATTCGATAGAAAAGCCTACGAAATTTGATATATATATCTCACAGCTACGTCTATTCAATAGTATTTGTCTGATCTAAGTTTTTCTTTCATAGACCAAAAAAACTCATTGAATAAACTTCTAGCACTATAATTATTATTAAAAAACCTGATGTAATATAGTAAGTAATTAAGTTCAATCTAGCGAACGTATAGTTCGATGTGATAAGCCCTCAAATATAATATCTATTCACAATTTCTTCAAATACAAGATGCCGTAAGATTTCCGGCTCATACTCATTTTACTTAATTAAAACAAATATATTTTCTATTCTAAAGTAATCGTTTGGCTAGTTTTTATTTTTTGGTTTTTGGTTAACTTCATCAATTTATCCTAGCACTGTCTGGTGGTTAGGGGCTCAGTTCCTAAACTGTGGGTCTCGGGATCGAAACCCGGTATTGAACATGTCCGCTTTTTCAGCCGTGAGGGTGTTGTAATGCGACGATCAATCCCATTTTTTGTGATCATATATATATATATATATATATATATCTGCAAATTACCTGCGAATTATAGTACGTATTTGGTAAGTATTGTTTTGCATACTATTTATGTATATATAATAAAAAATAAACTAACTAAAGTAGTACCTTTCCGTTACCGTAAACCTTTAAA